CTTACAGATATGTCAGAGCATGTGGAATTGCAGCATCTAGTGGATGTTGATGTGGAAAATAACACAACAAATCATAAAAGAAAGTTTTTTACTCTATTGTGTAAATCATGTCCTTATATGGGTCTAGTATTAGCAACACTGTCGTCTCTGTTCTTCTCACTATGTAGTGTAATAGTTAAGAGCTTAGTAGAGATAAATCCAACAGAAATGGCAATCTTCAGATTCTTTGGGGTATTATTACCAGCTATACCAATTGTGATTTATAAAGGTGAACATCCTTTTCCAAAAGGCCATAGACTGATACTTATTCTGAGGAGTTTTATTGGTACAACAGGACTTATGTTAAGTTTCTATGCATTTAGACATATGCCGTTGGCCGATGCCTCAGTTATTGTATTTTCTGTTCCTGTATTTGTAGCAATATTTGCACGGGTATTTTTGAAAGAACCTTGTGGATTATTTAACGTTGTTACTGTATGTTTAACATTGGTTGGTGTGATATTGATAACACGACCGTCATTAATTTTTAGTCATACCGTAGAATCTCTCTCAGATGGTCAAGTTAAGTCAGAACATGCAGATTTATGGGGTGCTATGGCTGCTTTCTCAGCTACTTTATTTGGTGCAAACGCATATGTTTTACTACGTGCGTTAAAAGGTCTTCATTTCTCTGTTATAATGACAAATTTTGGTTCATTTGCTTTGATTCAAACTACGCTCATATCATGGGCAATTGGTGCATTATGTATGCCACATTGTGGGACTGATAGAGTTTTAGTTGTTGCACTCGCATTGTTTAGTTTTGCAGGTCAAATTTTGTTAACTTTAGCCCTTCAGATCGAACAAGCTGGTCCAGTGGCCATAGCAAGATCTACAGATATTGTTTTTGCGTTTTTTTGGCAAGTATTATTTTTTAATGAAATACCAAATAGATATTCTGTAGGCGGAGCTATATTAGTCACTAGCTCAGTTTTGTTAACAGGCTTAAGAAAATGGGCTCTTTCTTTACCGGAAACGTCAAATATAAAAAAATCTCTTGGAATCTTAATGATATAAATAATGACTTTTTTATTTAGAGAAGAAAGGAACTAAAGTAGACAAAGGAATGCCCAAGAAACAATTATATATGAAAAATAATATTACGACTGATAGCAATTTAAACGTTTGCTTTAAAATGTGTGAATTTATTTGTAACGTATTTTAGATCTATTAATTCTGTTATTAGCAAATTCCAATAATTATTTGATAATTCTAATATTAAAATCGAGGCTGTAATTATTTTAAATAAAAAACGTTTGAATTTAGTCAATTAAGTGACACTTATCGCGTTCAAACTTCACACAATAGTTGCTCTAAGATATTAATTCATTTTTTAATATTAACATAGTTTTACGTAATGAATAATAAATTAAAAATACTTTATCTTAATAATATTTTATTTTTTCATTTCGAGAGACATTATCTATGTGTTATATTTAATTTTATTAAAGTTAAAAAAATTGATTTTTTCAAATCATGATTAAAATTCAAAAGTTTGTTTAAAAAATTCATAAAAATATTGCCAGTTAGAAGGAATAAAAAAAGATAATTTGAAATATATATTAACTCAATGAAAAAAAGTATCAATAAATTGTAAAATGCCTATGCAATCCTTCGCAGTTCTTGACGTGTAAAGAATCAAATCGATAATTGAATTTCTTGAAATATCCAATATATTAAATAAAAAAATACGTTTCAATTCTTGATATATTTTCTTTAACATTGAAAAAGGATCCAATCTGTGAAAACTTGTATACGCATTTTATATTTGATTGAATTGAAAAAACAATCATAAAATTATAATTCTGTAATTGCATTCTCATTTTTAATAATAGTCTAAATATTATGAAATACTGACATTAGAATATGTGATACATGTACGCCAAAGTTTTAATTAATGTCACACATATATACCAATATTTATTCATTTTTACTATCGTGTTATGTTTATTATTGTTGCTATATTTAAATTTTTTTAGGAATTTAATTGGCTAATTTTATAAAATATTATTAAATTATAATTTTTAAATTAAAATAATTTTAATTTAAAAATTGATATAAAGAAAGTCATTATGGTATTTACATTATGGCGTTAGGTCAAATGACCTCTTCTTCAATCTATCTAACAGATGATGCAGTAGGTTTGGGATATTTTTCAAATAGCAACGTGTCTGTATTGCTTTTAGAATTGCAGAAATTAAGTCCACATTTGTTTTGCTCAAATTAATTTGCGCGAGTTTGCTTAGATACAATTAATTCGGGATTATATTTAAGACATTACTTTTTTCATTTTCTAACTCTGGTGTGTGCGCGCATACTTGTGTGCATAGAGGAGTATGAGAAAGAGTGAGAGTGAATATATAAAAAAAGTGTACGTGTGTAATAAAACAGCGTATGAGAGTAGATATATATGTATGCGCGTGCCATATTACTATTCACTATTTTTTATATGTTCCACATGGAACTTGTAGAATGTTATTTATTATACAAATTGAACCGCTTATATATTTAATTATTTATTATATACAAGTATGTATATAATAAAATGTATCATGTATATAATCTTTTTAAAGCAACATTGGTATAATTAAATTTTCCTATTTTTAATACTTCTTTTACACTTAACATTTTTAAATTCCTCTTTAAAATTTTATCTTTATCTTTTGTGATCTAAAATGCAACCTTTCGTAAAATGAGAAAGTGAATAAAAAAGAATACTATGAATATTTTAATCTTATTAATCTTATTAATGTAATTGACGTAACGATATTTTTATTTTGCATATGCTATTACAATAAAAATAGAGATCGGCGGAAAGAATTAAAAATAGGATATTTGCTTGATTCCGATGTATTAAAAACAAGAATGCTTGAATGCACACTAGTAATCTATTGAACAGATTCAAGTGCACATACGCAAGTTGTATTTTTATAATAGGAAAGATTAAATTTTTGACTGGTATATTTTTTAATCTCTTGTAATTTTAAATGAAAATAGTCATAGAATTTTATATTTATAAGTTGAAAACAGAAAAAAATGTCAAACTTATATATATTACTTTTTTCTGTGATTTATATGTATAGGAACATTTTTATTAAGTATGAATGATTAGTATGTAAGGAATGTAATATATTATATAAATAGTCGAAATTATTTTGTCTCGAAACAATTAACTATTTATTACAAATGCAATTTTTACTTTTTAAGATGCAAAAGATTAAAACGAATAAAATAGAAAAAAGAATTTCTCATTATCATAGTACAGATTTGCTTAATGTAGAATCTACAACAAAAATGTAATAATTTGTTTTTCTTCTCTTACTGCTGTATAATAATATTCTATTCGTAATAGTTTTGTGAAAATGATAAAAATTACATTATTTATTTGTATCATAGTATTTAAATGTAAAAATTATACACATTGTATTCGCTTCGTAATGTTAAACAAATTTACATTACATATGTAATTTCTTCCATAGCAAAAAAAAATCACAATAATATGTAATGATAACAAAATCACGATTGCGCGTGAATCCACTTTGTTACAGATGTAATACCACAACAAAGTTAAGATGGCGTGTCCACTTTGTTACAGATACAATATTGTTATGGTATTATACAGCTATGATAAAAATTGCACTTTACTGTAACACTGTTATGACATATACAGATCAAGATAATGTCATCAATAAATTATGATGTCACTGTGACATCACAATTTATCCATGATTAAATTTATTATATGAATGTGACGTTTTTTGCTATGGGAGTTTTATGTAAAACTTGAGAGGAGTGATTATATGAGAGATCTATGCTTTTTTGTATTAATATATATTACATCCTATTTGAGCATACGAATTTAAAAAAATTCCATCCTTGTAATTATTAGATTATATGAAAAAATGAAGAAGCATTAATTATAAATGGAGGAAGAGAAAGTTATACATGAAGATTGCGATTATCAATCAATTTCAAGATGAACATACTGATATATTTAAAATTTTAAGAGTCAGTAGAAATAATGGCTAATTTATCCACCTTCTGTGTAGACATATCTGATATATTATCAAATTTTGTTCTGTTTGTAGAGGAAACATGAGATTCTTTTGATTTCTTTTTTTTAAAAGATTTCTATAGAGTCAGATTTTGGTTCTTAAATAATATTACAAGTATTTTATAAAAATTACTTTAAATCAGATAATTTAAAATAATAAAATCTCATTAGTGAAGCAGTGAAAAATTACTATGAACAGGCCGAGGTGAGTGGTGTGCAATTGAATTATGTGCGCCGCTCCCGGTCACCTTATTTAATTCCATGATAGCGGCAGATGTTGCTCTAATTTTTTATTTTATCGTTTATCATATTTCATTATGTGAAATCGTATCTTTTATGTGTGCAGTAGAACGTAATTATTGGGGATTCATCAAGTCATCCAAGTTTTTTATAGATCCCATGGTGGAAAGAATAAAAATGAATATTTTTTTATTATTTTCTAAAATCATTTTATGATTTTTAATTTGACATGTTATTTCGATGTTTCGAGTCATTCTTCAAAATTACCGCGAAGCAAATGTTTCAATGGCCGCATTTGATATCTGCGCAGAACAGTACGAAATTTGTTTCGAGAACGAGCGCATCTTCTTTCCTTCCATGATAGATTCAACCAATCATATTCAATTACTCAGCGAACAGGTAAGCAATTTTGTCCACCTTGAACGCGCTGATTTTCTAAGTGCGTGTTTTCTAAGTTCTATTTTACGTTGCAAATGCTTTGAAGCACTTTTTGATTGGTTAATTCATAAAACTCTTTCTTCTCATTGGTCAACGAAGCGTTTGCAATATTAAGTGAATCGCATCCTCTTCGTGTTTTCTATTTCTTTGAATATATACCAGTGCGCAGCTCCTCATTTTACTCTTCCCTCTCTCTCCCCTCACCGGGTTCCTTCCGCCATATTATTCTCTTTCTCTTTTCTGTCATTTGCTAATATCCTGTTTGGGAAATCATGCGTCTCGTATACACGTAGCGGTCGTAGCGCGTTGTACTTATTGATCATAGTCATTCGATTGCATGGGGAAACAGATTTTTCGTTATTTGTTTTATTTGTACTGATTCCTGTGTTATTACGTTGTAAACAAGGAAAGATACGACATTATTGAGAAGGTCGAACCCTCCCTCCTGACAAAAAGTGAGTGATATAGTTTTCAACTTGACATATGCGGTTAATAAAAAGGGAGGAGAGAGAAAAGAAAAAAAGTTGATAAGATATAAGTATTTAACATTAACGAAAAATACGAATATAAAAAGAAGAGGAAATGAGATGAACGAAATGTAGAGAGGTTATATTGAAA